CCCCAAAACCCCAAAACCCCAAGAATCTGAATGCTACTAAAATTTGACTATTTATATTTCAATATAAACAAAATTAATACCTGCATTGCCAATAATTATAGATATCAGTTGTAATTATTACTTGCTCTTATATTAATAGGCATTTTAGAAGCTTCAATGTCCTTCAATAATGCATCATATCTTTAATTAAACTTTATCATTTCACTTTCAAGTTAAAATTCACTTTTTTCCTGATTATTTCCTATACTCTACCTATTAAAGCTTTTATTACTTTCCTCTGTTTAAACCTAGTTTTGATCATTTATAGTATTCATTTCATCTGTTGATCGACTTGTAGTAATAGTGTTTTGAATTGGCTATAAAGCTTTAATATGCGGATTATGAGAGAATTTCTGGTTATTAAGCATTAGTCTTGTGTCTATCAATTGATGATGTTGTAAATTTTGACTCTATTTGTTTTAATGATTTTAATGCTGATAATAGGATTGATTTGGATTGATATTTTGGCTTTAGTTCATCATAGTTAGATTACTGCTAGGATAGCGATGCTAAAATTACTGCAAATTCTGAGACTAATTGCTTTTTTAAGAGCTTTCACTGCGATTGTGATCTAACTGATATTGCTAGTTTATATTAGCTTAATTTCTTGTCTAATTTTAAAAGGATGACTCAGTTTGATTTCTATAAGATGGAAGATTGCTTTAGGTTGTTAATGGAGTTAACTAGTCAGGAATCATAGAATTACTAATCTGACTTTAATTGTGTTGGCTTGATCTTCTATTTTACTTCTCAATCTTTCTTTATTAAATAGACTGCACAAGCATTTCATTCACATTTACAACTTCTTAAACAAAAGTCTCAGTTTTTTCCCTCACTTTTTCATTATTTTTCTAGACGGTCTGAAGTGAAAACAATTGCTGCTTGATTGTTTAAATCTCTTCTTAAAATATCTATAGCTATATTTTTAACTGCTGATTTTCACTGTCTTTTGATTCAACTTGATACTAACCCTAGCTCAGAAGCTATTTCATTTCTTGGAGTTCTTAATGAGTGTGCTAAATTTATCTTTCATTTTAATCCCTATAGGAGTTATACTCATTATTCAAATTGTGATTTTGACTAATAAGCTCTTTAAGTTTCATCTCGAGATCTTATATAAGCTGACTAAAGTATGTCTTTTGCTTTTAATTCTCTTCATGCAATACTTTAATTTGAATCTAGCATTCTTTTTTTTCTTTGGATAATTTCTTGCACTTTTTCTTAAGATTTCTTTCAACTTCTCTCATTTCTTACATAGTAGTGATAACCTTTTTTTAGTTTTCTTATTCCTGTATCCCTAATTGCTTCTCAAGCTGGGTATTCAATTTCCTTAAGCCAATATTTTCCTTCATCATTTTGTCTATGGCTCTGGATGATTACTCTACCCTTTACCTTAATTCACCTACTTGTTTTAAATCATCTTCAATTCTCTGCTTAGATTCTTTCTCTAAATGCTAATGAGAGGCCTTCTACTTAATCATAATTTCTCCAAATTTCTCTTTTTCTTTTTAGTTCTTCTCAATCTAGTATCTCAATTGGCCTTTAAGATCATTGTTTTACTAGACTAGCAATTCATTTTAATCTTCGAGCTATTTCATTTTATGTTATAATGCCTTCATAGCACCAGCAATTGCCTAAGAATTTTGAACTTAGGAATTAGACAAGTTTTAATGCTAGTTTGAAGATTAGGAAGTATTCTAGAGTGGAAAGCATTAAGAATATTGCATAGTAGTGCTGTTTCCATTTTGATTATACTACTACAGTGGTAGCTATATAGATTAGGAATGAGAAAGTAAGGAAGAGTTTAACAGCAGTGAAGATGAGTGGTTTTAATTTGCAAGAGGATTCAATGTTTGCTGAGTTAAATTTATCAAGGATTGCTAATGATGCTAGTTAGTCTGAATAGGCGGTATTTAGAGCTCAAAAGAATGCTGCGAGCTTGATCTTTTGTCGATATTTACTCTTGGTTTGTTTAAATCCTTTATTGTTATTGGTCCTTCAAGACTTTGATTTTGGAATTATTAAATTGACTTCTTTTATTGCGCAGTTTTTCGCATCATTTATTCAATATTGATCTCCTGAGTTTAATCAAATGTTTGCTGTTAGTCTTCATTGCTGACTAGTCTCTCAGGCATCAGATACTTTTAAGGGTTATATCCATTGTTGCTATTTTCATTCATTTAGCTACCTTGAGTAGTATTTTGTCCATTAGCACTTCCATTATTGTGGAGCATATGCTGATTGATGTTATACTAATGAGACTAGTGCTATTTTTATTCAATCTCTTGGTAAATTTCATTATCAGTGGATGAACTATAAGTTGAGCTATTACCATCAATGATATTTTAAGAGCCTATCTTCATGCCTTCTAGGTGCTATTGAATTTAATTGGTGGATGTGCTGGAGCTGCCATAATTTTCCAATTAGAAATGACTGTACTAGGAGTTCTCTGAATCATGGTTAAACTTCTGGTGTTATTGAGTGCCACCCATATGCACTTAATGAAGATTGTTAGAATTAGAATGACTGTGAAAATGATTCAGCTAGGAATTAGATGAAGGGTTTTGAATGCTATGCTGAGAAGTGGATGGCTGCATATTTCGATATTTGAAATTTAATTATTGAACGAATTAATTTAAATTCATGCTGAAATATTTTGCATTTATATGTTAAACTTAATTCAATAATTATAATATTAAAGTAAATGAAATGATAAGAAGTCGTTCTGTCTAAGAACGACACTATGTATTATATGAACCAAAGTAAGAACTATTGATGATAAGCCTCAGACTGATTAGGACAGCGTCTGAAAAGCTGGGGCCCCAAAGCAGAACGAGTGTAACTAAGCAATCTGCATTCGAAGCTTTGTCATCATAAATCAAGGGAAGAGACGGTTGAGTTGATTCGCTCGCTCCTGTCGCGGCAAACCTGAAAGGGGGAGTCCTTCTCAAGTCCCAAATTCCTAATCGTGGGGTAATGTTCAATGAGCGTTGACCTTCGGGAAAAACCTTGGGAGAAACACCACAACATCCAAATTAATAAGTTTGATTAGAAATATGTTTGAATAAGAGTGATTGAGTGTATTTAGAAATTGCATCATAGCATTATTGTATATGGAAAGAGGTTTTAGAGTTCTCCTAATGAGAAATTGCTAGTAACCTCATAAATGTATATTTTACTATGTAATAGTGAGTGCTTTATATATTTATTAACTTATATTAAGTATTCATTTCACAATCCACTTTTTATTATGAAATTAAGTTTAAGGTCAGTTTTTTAATATAAAAAGATTTAATATTTGAAAGAAAAATTTCCTCATTTAATATCTATCTAAATATCTTCTACAGGAATCTCTCTTTCAGAGTAATTTCTTAGCGAAACAGGTTAATTGTTACTTTCTTAAAGTCGGTGAAGACTGTTGCCTAGTGTGAAGCTACTATTAACAGCAAAACTTTCTTATTGTAATTAGCCTGCCCTCTGCTCAATGCTTTCGAATCTTTTGGCCAACTTCCTTCTTTCATCAGCTATCTTCTCAATAACTTTATCAATATCACTTTAGAGAACTCTGCTGTACTTAGCTAATTATCCTCTACTTGCATGATTGGGGGAATCATTTGCTCTTAGTACAAAGAGATTCATAGAGTTATCAAGGTTCACTGAGCTATCTTCCTCTGGAACCATCTCTTCATTTAGCTTTTTCTAGTATTGATAGTAAATGATGAACTCTCTTTCATTGATGAAGAAATCTTTTACTCTCAAATACTAATTTTCATCTTCATCTGCAAATTTTTCGTTCGCTATTGGGCATTCAGTCTCAAGCTGATAAATTTAAGAAATATGCTGCCTGCAGATGTGGCAACTAGATTCTTTCATCTAAAGATTTGGATTTCTATTTCTATGTCTGTTCTCTATCAACTTCTAAGCCACTATAAGATTATGGGTATAGGCATTAATGCAGAGTTAAATAGCACAATCGAAACATACACCGCCATGGCCACAGTCCATAATCACTGAGTCTGCTATTTTATCACAACAAATCAAACACTGGTTACTCATTCCAGTATTGCTTTCTCTGGCTTCTCTATTTAAATTCAAGTTATTTACTATATCATCATTTGAGTTTCTTTTATGCTTTTTCTCAATTGTTCTTCTTGGATACTCTAATTTCTAATTAATCTCATCTATACTAGTAAATGATCTAGACCTAACCTTTTTGTGTCTCAATTTGCTAGACTAATAATTATTCGTAATATTATTATTGAGCCCATTAGAATTTACATCAGGATTATTCTTATTGACCTCTTAATTGTAATCTTTATCTAATACTAGTGAGAGAATGTCTGCTAGCCCTTGATCGGTAAGCAAATTATTACAGCTAGTAAATTTAGGCAATTTATCGAATTTGTCAAAAATCAGTTCGTCCTTTTTCTTCTTGATAACCATTCTTTCCTGCTAATTTGGATCCCTAATTTAATCTTGCTCCATCTACTATACCTAATCATTAACTTGCCTGATATCTTTAAGCTTTCTACTTTTCTTCTTCTTTGACTAAGTATTGTTCCCCTCCAAATTCACCTAGTTTCCATCAAATACTAAATTCTTTATAAATACTGAGAGCTTTGCATAATATGTATTCGATAATTTGACAAGCATGCTTGGTATCTTCACATTAAAGTTCATCTTCTAGGTAAATTCTTTCTTTTCTAAATCTAACATTTCCTCTCTGAGCTCTGCTCTTTGATTCGTTCTAGAAGTTTCGTTTTGAAGACTATTTGTTTGCTGCGGCAAATTGGAATTAGTATGAGTGATGGACTAGGTTGCACTCTATGTCTCTTCTTACTTCTCTTAAGTTTCAATTCCATAGAGACCAAGAATCCAGGATTTAATATAAGTGTGAGAGCATAAAGTGATCAAAGAATTAAATGCTGTGTATGCCATAATTAGATAAAGGGAGTTTAATAGTATCTTTCTTGTTTATTTAGATTCATTTGTTTGTGAGTAGAAATAGCCTGTGTCCATGTGATCAGTCAGACTAAGAATAAAGTATATAGCGATCATAGTTCCCACTGTCATAGCAATGAAAAACCAAAATGATACAATGACTAGAATAATTAGAAAATATTTATATATATAATTTACATGAAGTTATTTTCTTGAGTTTAAAAAGCTCAACTCCTTATTGCGTGAAGTCTGTAATAGGAATATTTCTTCTAATTCGATATGCTTCGCTCCTGCTATTCAAATGTTTATTCATTTCAGCTATCTCGTATTCCGAGGATAGTATTGACTTTAAATACTTGTAGACCTGAATCAGAATAAGCACAATTGATGTCAGGCTTAATAAAATAAACAAGGAGGTATAAATCCAAAATGGCCAAAATACTGAAGACCATTACTAAGATGATCTAATAAATTCACCTGCAGTTAAGTTTACTATGCCAGGATATATGGGAAGTATAGATGTTGAATTTTATGTTAAATTGAAGGATTTTTACTGGTTTGACTAGCTTATGGAATCATTTAAAACAGTCAGATCTTTATCAATTTTGCTTGTTATAGTGAAAGTTAATGTTATTGCGAATACTCTTGTTAGGGATTTTAGCTAAAGTAGATAGGTTAAATGGATTAATCTTTTTAAATATTTCTACTTACAAATGCTTATAATGTGTTAAAGTCCTTTTTTATTACTCTGAAGAAGAGAAACCTAGCGACAAAGCTTACTAAAAGTACGTAGAACAGCACTTATGTATTTGATAGTAATTCTAGTCTTAACTTAAACTCTATTATAACCTATAATTTCAAATAAGCAATAGGAAGATTACAAAATACAGCATCAATCCAATGACCTCAGCAAATTTCTTTGCATATTCACACTAATACTTCAACTTCTGTCTCTGCTTTGACTCCCTTAGCTTCTAATCTTCCCTTCGGCTACTAACTCTAATATTCCTCAAGATTTATTACTCTTCAATATTTAGTAAACTTCTTGTATTGTTAAAAAATGGATTGTTGTCTCTCACACTGTTCTAGCTGCTCATCAATTAAGTCATTGGGTTTTAGCTAGTTAAAAATTATTGCTGCTGGTCTCTTTAGAGTTTTGATTTTCTTCTCAGGTCTCGATAACGCAATTTGAATTTATTTTCAAGATAAGCAATTGATTGCTTGTAATTTCTAGCCAAGTCTATGAACTTCTTTCCAGACCAGATTATCCAGGGAATCAATATTAAATCTGGAGGCATTTTGAAATCAGAAATCACATATATGAATAGGAATGTCATAGAGAGACCAACTGTAACTGATATTTCAAAGAACACGCAATAGAGTTCATAAAGACTAATAACTTTGGGTATTTTGCGTTTTTTATCACCTATATTATCTAGCTCTTACTAACTGATATCTTCGGGGAGCTGCTCATTTTAATTTTGATTTTAGTCTATCATTCTCATTTCTGGATCTAAATTTATTTCATTGCTAATACTATATTAATGAGTATGTCTTGACCTTTAATTTTGAGCGCTTATAGAAGTCAATATCTAAGGCTAGTTTGCTGTGAGAACTATATTATTAGAGTTGTTACTAGTATAAGTATGATTATTGTTATTTAACATCTGAGAGCCACTATAATTGCTATCAATACTATTATGTAATTCTTACTAAAACAAATTAGACTGTGGTGAGTTAATCAAATCTGCATTTTAGTTAAATCTCCTTCAATGAATAGGCCCATTCAAATGATTATCAGAGAAGTTATTACCATTTGTGTTGTTTATATTGTTATTAGTATAGAATTAATGATTTCTGTTTCCACTTACTGCTCTTGAGTTTATCTGTAACTAACCGGCTTATCTGCTTGAGCTATTCATAAGCTCAAATCCATTTTATCTAATTCCATTTTGAATAAGAGCTGATCCTGGGGATTATAGTGAAGTTGTGAAGAAGTTATTGGAAGTCTAATTTATTAATTATTGTTATTGCTAGGAAATTGTTGGCTAATTAGTCTGCCTTGGCATTTAAAAATCTAATAAATTCATCAGTTGAAATTAAGAGGGATTTATAATTTATAATAAGATTCAGTGGTTAATTCTTACTCTATTGATTGACATTTTAGAACTACATAGATTACTGCCATCCTGGCGTTGACCTTCTTTAATTAAGATATCTCTCATCTTAAAGGTTAAAAAGCTCATCTCGTTGACCTGATAACATTTTATCTCAAAAGGTTCTTAATATTTTATCCTTTTCAAAAATATTTATAATATGAAATTTATATTTTGACATATTTAAGACAGATTAATTATTAAATTTTTATCAAATTAAAAGATTCTCAAACACTATAGAAAACTCCTCTATCAAATTTAGACTTACTTTTGATTCCTCTTTCTCAATAGATGCTACTTCCTTCTCCTTTTTTTGATAATATTATTCAATGATGCTTATTTCAATTTGGACTGTTTCCTTAATATCCTTATAGTAATTTTGGGTGAATATTGGGTCATTAAATATTTTGTTGACTCCATTTTGATTTTAAATCTTATAATGTGCAAAAGTATTCTTTGATTTTATAAAGGTAACAAGCAATGATGCAGGAATTTCAGTAAAACTATTTTTATACTCTTTCTTAATGTTATATGCGTTTTCATACATTAATCCTTCAATTTCTAAATAAATTAATATTTTATATGGCTTTAAACTAGCACTTACTGTATTAATAGTGGCCATATTTCTAGATTATTTCATCACAAAATTGCTTGAATTCTTGCTCTTTATACTCAAAGACATGATCTTCGCACCTTAATTACTCTGGATTCTCAAAGTTCTTGAACATATGATTGAAATCTTTATTTGGTGTGGTCATTATCACAATGTCTGGCTGTATCAGCCCAAATACATTATCTATCAATGTTGGAATTTTATCCTATTGCAAGTGTTCTATAACTTCTATCAATGTGACAAAGCTCAAAATTTCTTGGGCTTATTATGCTATTGATAAATCTACTTGCTCAATCTCTTGATTTATCTCTATTTCATCTTTTAATTTTAAGTTTATTAAGGGCTTAACTATATCCATGCAATACAACTCAACCTAAGTGTTTAGTAAGTTTCAAAAGCACTACTCATTTATCTCGCTACATAGTTTTAAATAATGGTATTGTACCTGCGAGATTTGTACTTAAGTGATTCCTAAAAGCTACTCTTTAAATCTAGGCTATGTATGGCTAAATAATTGCTAGCCTTTTCTACTTTGCTTAATTTTATATCAATTCCAATATAATGGTTAAGTATTCTTGAGTTAAGACAATAACGAAGAAAACTTCCCTTGCCACATCCAAGATCTATCAGTCTCAAAGTTGCATCGCTAGCCAATTTTTTCTAAGCCATGTTGTAAACTATTTAACTTTCTATAATCTTAAAAACCTTTAGGTATTTTAATTCCTGGAATGTTAATTTAATCATCTATATATATTTCTAATATTTTTAAGAAACTGTTATTTATCTCATGGGGTTTTGGGGTTTTGGGGTTTTGGGG